TCAGACTTTCTACAGTACAAATTCATATTGTTCATACAGCACAGCCCTTGCCCTTGCCAAACAGTCATACTTTTCTTCTCTTATCTCGCAGTCCCAGGCATCTCTTTGATACCTTCAACTCTCTTCTTTGCCCTGTTGCGGCCTCCCCCCAAACTAACCTTACAGCCGAAAGCTTTGCATGCTACTTTACTGACAAGATTGAGCAGCTAAGGAAAGAATTCTCACCACCTTGCCCCTCACTTTCTCAACCTCAACTGGATCATGCCTCTCCAACCTGTAGCGGAGATGCAATATTACCCAGGGTATCTCCGCTTATAATCCAAGTGGGACTCAGGAACAAGTAAATAGTAAATCCACAGGCAAGGCTTCCAGCAGGTAAAATACAGCAATATCCCAACAGCAATCCCAATAACTGGATGACACACAGTTTCAGGAGCATAACTGACAAGCCTTTAATCACAGTCTCCTTATAAAGCATGCTCCCATGCAAGGGAGGGATTTACAGTAATTATTACAGTAGCCAATCCTGTCCTGGTAACCTCCCACACATCTCTTCCCCTCAGCCAGCATCATAATCCCCTTATCCAGCACACCAATTCCCCCCGTTTCTGGGGTACCTCTTTAAATCCTACATCCCCGGATACCCCTGATCTGGGTGAACAACATATCCAAAAATCACCCAGATCAGACCAGGGGTTCGGGAAATGTATGGAGGGAATAAAATGACCGACCGCACTAACTGATATAGCCGAATAAGGTTCCATGCGAATGGGCCCTGCAGTCGGTCCTGGCATAAGGGAACAAAATACACGAAAGCCTCTAGCTATAGAGGCTAGGGAGGGTTCGCCTGAATCCCCTCGTTCTGTATTTTCTATCTACCGAATGAGGGGCCGTTCGGTAGTTTGGAACCGAACGGACCAGGGCTGTGGATGTCTCAGCGGTGTTCGCCTACTCGAGTGTCCGATTTTAGTTCCAGACACTCGACGGCAAAACACCGCTGTTCGGGAGTTTTAAAATGGCCGTTTGTCGAATGGTGGCCACCCCCGAGAACAAAGGACGGCTACTTACGATTCAATTACCCGTTCGCAACAATGTTGCAATGGGTAATTGAGGACACACTTCACACAGGGGAGGTCTGGTTGTTCGGTAGTTTCATTCGAATAAACTAAGGGAATGAAACTACCGAACAATCAGAGGAATACAATTCTTTTTAATACATAGAAAACACAGCAGATACACGAATGCAGGTATATACAGTATATTTGTAGGGTCGCCTGGTGCCATCCGCTACACTGCTCCCCCTTGCCCACAAGCCGGCATACACAGTCTGATCCAACACGGATCGGCTTGGGGATGTCCGGGGAGGCTCACGGATCATTTCTCTAGGTCAGTTTGTCGAGACAACCCATCAGCATTTCCATTCTGTTTACCCGGGCGGTACTGGATATTAAAGTCAAAGGGTTGCAGCGCCAGACTCCAGCGCAGCAGCCGGGCATTGTCTCCAGCCACCCGGTTTAGCCATACTAACGGGTTGTGATCCGTGAGCAGGGAAAAAGTTTGTCCGTACAAATATGGCTGTAATTTCTTCAGGGCCCACACCACAGCCAGGCATTCTTTCTTGATGGCGGCGTAGCTTACTTCTCGAGGTAACAGTTTCCGGCTGATGTAAGCCACGGGATGTTCTCCGCCATCGGCCCCAACTTGGCTCAATACTGCTCCCAATCCAAACATAGAAGCGTCTGTGTGGACAAGAAAACGTTTAGTTGGATTGGGAGCTGCCAAGACAGGGGCATTTGTCAATGCATCTTTTAACAACTGAAATGCCTGTTCACACTCCGGGGTCCAGGTTACTTGGCGGGGTAGGTTTTTACGGGTCAAGTCGGTGAGAGGTTTGGCCAGGGCACTGTAATTCGGGACAAATTTCCGGTAGTATCCGGCCGTTCCTAGGAACGCTAACACCTGAGTCTTAGTCCTAGGGGTAGGCCATTGAGCTACAGCCTCTACTTTGGCTGGTTCCGGCTTTTGCTTGCCGCATCCTACCCGATGACCTAGGTACTGTACCTCAGCCATACCTATGCTGCATTTGGCTGGTTTCAGTGTTAAACCAGCGGCCCTAATCCTGTCTAGGACCGCTCCTATATGGGTCAGGTGTTCCTGCCAGGTATTGCTGAAAATGGCAATATCATCGAGGTATGCGCAGGTATAATCTTGGAACCCATCCAGGAGGCGGTCCACCATCCGCTGAAAAGTAGCCGGGGCGTTTTTCATCCCAAACAGCATGACCTTAAATTGGTACAAGCCGAATGGGGTGACAAAGGCCGACTTAGGGATGGCGTCTTGCGCCAAGGGTATTTGCCAATACCCTTTACACAAGTCAATCGTGGTGAGATAGTGCCCCTTCGCCATCCGATCCAGGAGTTCGTCTATCCTGGGCATGGGGTAGGCGTCAGATACCGTCTTCTCATTCAATCTCCGGTAGTCTACACAAAATCGGGTCGTGCCGTCCCGCTTTGGTACTAGTACTACCGGAGAGGCCCAGGGGCTGTCGGAGGGCTCAATCACCCCCAGCTGGAGCATCTCATCGATCTCCTTGCGCATGTTCGCCCGTACCGCTTCTGGGATGCGGTACGGGGTCTGACGCATGGGAAGCTGCCCTGGGGTGTCTACTCTGTGAGTGGCCAGAGGAGTGTAACCAGGTACATTAGAGAAGATATCCTGTTTCTCCCTCAACAGCTGTTGTACCTCGCTCCGCTCCTGTGGGCTCAACCGATCCCCCAGGGTGACTTCCCCTAAGTCCCCGGATAACTGACCCTCTCCCAGCAGATCCGGGAGCGGCAAACTGTCAAACTCCTCGGAGTTAGGCGCACATATAGCGGTCACTTCCTCAGAGCGCTCCTGGTAGGGCTTCATCATGTTCACATGGAGCATGCGTCGCCCCCCAGTACCAACGCACGAGCCGATTATATAAGTGGTGTCACACCGTTGTTCTACCACCTTATAAGGGCCCTGCCAGGCGGCCTGCAGCTTATCGTGTTGGACAGGTTTTAAGATCAACACCTTCTGCCTGACCTGAAAGCTACGGTCCCTGGCGCCCCGATCATACCATGTGCGCTGGCGTGTCTGAGCCGCCTGCAAATTCTCGCGTACCGTCTGAGCTAAGGCCTCAAGGCGGTCTCGGAATGCCAACACGTATGGTATGATGGGGGTACCGTCAGTGCTCCGTTCTCCCTCCCAATGCTCTCTGATTAAATCTAGAGGCCCTCGTACCCTGCGGCCAAACAATAGTTCAAATGGGGAAAACCCAGTGGATTCCTGCGGCACCTCCCTATAAGCAAAGAGGATGTGGGTGTGAGGAACTGACTCTGCTGGGTTTCGAACCCTGGTTTACATGGTGCTAAACCTTTTCCTTACCAGTACACCAGCCTGCCTTTTGCAAATTTACCTGAGATCTGATACTATTGTTTGTAGAGTCAAGGTTATCAGTGACAACTCACTTCAGCTGTGTCTGGTCAGGTGTCTGGTCCTTGGCCTATAAAAGCCACTTCCTGTCTCTGTACCTTTGCCAGATTATTGTGGTTCCTGTACTCTCTAATCCAGCGTGTTCCTGTTTCTCCTTCCTGTTGCTGAATTTGGACTGTTTTGACTTTGCTGCTTCTCCTTCCCACTGACCTCGGCTTGCCTGACTACGATTATCATCTTTCTGTTCCAGTCTCCCATCTCTGCTTAAGACCAGAAGGCCACTCAAGGCTCAGGGGCTCAACCACCTGGGTAACGAGTGGCTACCTCTGGCAGAAAACATTGCTGATCTGGCTACTGGACTCCAAAACTTTGTAACATCAATATCATTACAGAATAATCTGGCCTTTTCATGGAGACCGTCGGATCAGATTCTGCATTGGCCCAGCAGGTTGCTTTTAATGCAAGAACTATGCAGACCCAGGCACAGACCATTCAAGTGCTGCAGGATCAGGTAGCTGAACTGCAAAATGAAGTTCGATCAATGCATAGTGAGCTTACCAGCTACAGGGCACATGATGTTGCGGCTGCTGCTACTACTACTGTTACACCTGCACAAGATGCCCGCTTGCCTCTACCAGAAAAATTTGGAGGAGACCGCAAAAAATTCAGGGGTTTCCTAAATCAATGCCGTTTGCATTTCATGATGTTACCTAACCGTTTTCCATCTGAAAGAGAGAAGGTGGGATTTATTTTTTCCCTCTTCAAAGATGAAGCCCTGGCCTGGGGCTCCCCTTTTCTGGAACAGGACAGTCCAATCTTGGGAAATTTAAAAGACTTTCTTGAGGCCATGTGCCTAGTTTTTGATGATCCCAATCGCTGTGCTACAGCAGAAGCCACTCTCCTTCATTTACATCAAGGGAGGCGCTCTGTGGCTGAATATGCTGCTGAATTCAGACAGTGGGTTACTGATACTACTTGGAACCAATCAGCCCAGAGGTTCCACTTCAGAAGGGGTCTCTCAGAAGCTATAAAAGATGAGCTAGCTCGTGTTGATCTTCCTGTTGAGTTTGATGCATTTGTGCGGTTGGCTATCCGTATTGATCGGAGACTTTCAGAAAGAAGATTGGAAAGACAGGGCTCTTTTAAACCAAGTGCTACTCCTACTTTCTATTCAAGAATTTCTACTCCGACCCCACAAACACCTACAGACTCTGAACCTGAGGCTATGCAGGTAGATCTAATAAGAGGGCCATTATCCAATGAAGAAAAACAGTGGCGACGCACTCACAACTTATGCCTGTATTGTGGTAGTGCAGGGCATTATGCCATCAATTGCCCTAACAAGTCTAAAAGAACAATAGCTATGACTGCTGAGGGTGCACAGATTCAACACCAATCCCAGATTTCAGACCAACTGGATTCTGTCACACAACCCTTGTTTTCTCTGGCTCAGGGTGAAGAAGGTATGATGACTCAACATCCTCATTTGGTGGTGCCTATCACTTTGCAATATGGTAATAATAAAATTTCAACTACAGCTATGATAGATTCCGGAGCAGGCGGAAACTTTATGGACATTAAATTTGCAGCAGAAAATAAAATTCAGTCTATCCCTAAATCTTCACCTGTGTTAATGGAAACAGTAGACGGTTCTCCACTTACGTCAGGCCCGGTTACACATGAGACTGTGCCCTTAAAATTGATTCTGGAAGTGAATCACCATGAGTCTATATCTTTCCACCTAATTTCCTCAACACAGTTCCCAGTGATTTTGGGTATACCCTGGCTTGCTCTGCATAACCCACAGATTGATTGGAAGACTAGAACTTTGTCCTTTCCTTCAGAACACTGCTTAATGAATTGTCAACCCTCTAAGGCGACACCTGTTACCACAACAATTAATGAAATGGTTGCTACAAACTTAACCAAGCTTCCGCTACAATATCGGATTTTGCAGATGTCTGTGATAAGAAGAATGCTGATCAGCTTCCACCTCACAGGCCTTATGATTGCCCCATAGAGCTGCTACCTGGAGCTGCTATCCCATTTGGCCGTATATACTCCCTTTCTGAGCCTGAATTGAAAGTACTTCGTGAATACATACAAGAAAATCTTGCCAAAGGCTTTATTCGACCATCCACTTCTCCAGCAGGAGCTCCTATATTCTTTGTAGAAAAGAAAGATGGCAGTCTACGACCATGTGTTGATTACAGGGACATTAATAAAATCACTGTTAAAAACCGTTATCCCTTGCCTCTCATTCCTGAACTTCTGGAGAGACTTCATTCAGCTAAAATATTTACGAAGCTTGATCTACGGGGGGCATATAATCTGGTTCGCATAAGACCAAATGATGAATGGAAAACAGCTTTCAGAACCAGGTACGGACATTACTAATATCTAGTAATGCCATTTGGGCTTTGTAATGCCCCTGCAACTTTTCAGCATCTAATCAATGATGTACTACGGGATCTCCTGGATCAGTTTGTTGTGGCATATTTGGATGATATCCTGATATTTTCTGATAATCTTGGAAATCACAGAAAACAGGTCGGCATTGTTCTTGAGCGCCTTCGTACCCACCACCTATACATTAAACTGGAAAAATGTGAGTTTGAACAAACAGAAATTCAGTTCCTGGGGTATGTAATAACTCCTAAAGGTTTAAGCATGGACGCAAGTAAAATTAAAGCTGTGCTGGACTGGCCCATCCCCAAGAATGAAAAAGATATACAGAGATTTGTGGGGTTTGCCAATTTTTACAGGCGTTTCATTAAGAATTTCTCTGCCGTTATTACACCGATCACTGAACTTACACGTAAAGGGACTCCTTTTCAGTGGTCCAATGAGGCTGACACTGCATTTTCCAGATTAAAGATTTTCCAGATTAAAGACTCTGTTTACATCTGCCCCAATCTTGGTACATCCTCAGCCAGAATTGCCATTTACTGTAGAGGTAGATGCTTCTGATTCAGCTGTTGGGGCTATACTATCTCAAAGGACTGGACCTAAGATGTTGTTACATCCATGTGCCTTCTATTCCCGCCAGATGTTACCAGCAGAAAGAAATTATGACATAGGGAATAAAGAACTTTCGGCTATAAAAGCTGCCTTCACCGAATGGAGACATCTCTTGGAGGGAGCCACCCATCCAATTACTGTCCTCACAGATCACAAAAATCTGGAATGTATTCAATCCGCTAAGAGACTGTCAGCCAGACAAGCACGCTGGTCCCTATTTTTCTCAAGGTTTAATTTTTTTATTTCATACCGCCCTGGTTCCAGAAATGGTAAGGCGGATGCCTTGTCTAGGATAGCTGACCCCCTCCATACTACAGTAACCAAGGCCACCATCTTGCCGGAGAGCAGATTTTTAGGAGTTACCTTTCCTTCTGATCTAATGTCTCGCATTAAAAAGGGCTACTCTAAAGATCCAGTTTTTCGTGATCCTCCTCGTGATCTTCATATGACCATGCTTAATGGGTTTTGGATTTTTCAACAACGCCTGTTTGTTCCAGAATCAGTGCGACTGGACGTTTTACGCCTCTACCATGACTCTAAACCAGCAGGTCATCCAGGAATCCGAAAGACACAAGAACTACTTACCCGATCCTTTTGGTGGCCTAAATATTATGAGGATGTTAAGAAGTATGTGTCCTCTTGTGATGTATGTGCTAGACATAAGACTCCTCGCTCATCCCCTGTTGGCTTGCTTCAGCCTCTTCCGATTCCTCATCGTCCCTGGGGATCTATATCCATGGACTTTATTGTGGAACTACCTCCCTCTAAGGAACACACTACCATTCTTGTTGTTGTGGACCGGTTAACCAAGATGAGTCATTTCATACCAGCTCGTGGTCTCCCTTCAGCTAAACAGACTGCTGACCTTGTTATTCGGGAAATATTTCGCTTGCATGGAGTGCCTGATGAAGTAATTTCTGACAGGGGAGTGTAGTTTACATCTCATTTTTGGAAATATTTTTGTTCTATTCTAGGTATTAATGTAAATCTGTCTTCAGCTTTTCATCCACAAAGTAATGGACAGACTGA